TAGGAAGTTAGCAAATAAAAACAACAGATTGAGGCATACCTTAAAGACAATCAGAGTTTCAGTCTTAAAACATGATTTCATAATCTCTATTATGCTCTAACATATAATCAAAGCAATACAGTGTTTTAAGATTAAGATTTAATACTGAAAATGCACTAAAAAGTTGCAGTGATAACAAGCTTTAATGCACAAAAATTAAACTCTTCTTTTCTCTTCCCTCCCTTACTTTCCATTTTCAAATGAGATGCATTTTGAATGTACATAGTGCCTTTTATTTTTCTAATATCATGACACACTATCTATATACCCAGGTATATGGTTTGCATCACTGTCAGATTTGAGCTCCTTCCATGAGCTACAAGAGAACAATGCTCTCTTTCCTTCAATACTAATTAGCCACCAAGAGTAATGATTTCAAACTCAATAAGCATTTAACAAAAGGAAGGAACTCCCCTTGCACTTTTCTTCCCATATTTAATTACTTTAAACAGCATCAATCCTCATCATTAGTCACAGAATGGTTTGAAGATTCATCACAAGGAAACAAAAGGCAAACAAATTTTTGAATGCTCCACACATGAATAGGATATTTTTTTTAAAAGATTGTGGCAAATATTATGAAGTAATTCACGTTTTCTGCTTAAAAAACGGAGAACCATACAGAGTAATGAGCAGGTTAAGAAGGGAATTGACACAAGTGGCTGTAATACAAAGAAGTGCAAATCTGACTGGAACTAGATGTTAAAAAAATTATCTATTATCTGACACTTTGTGAAAATATATTCATATTTAGAAATAGTAACAGATGTGTAATGCATGCTATTTTAATGAACTGGATCTCATTTCATCATAATTAAGAAAAATCAACATGCCCTGGGAGCTTCAAGCTCTAGTGCTTCGGAAATTTTATTGGAGTCTTTCAATAAAGCTCTCTATTTCCAGAGAAATATTGACTCAGTTGATGCTTTAAGCTTCAATTTTTAAGTCCTTTGATTGCAACACCATGGCATGTTCAGGATATGTGTCCTATCCTACACACCAACTGCCATCCCTTAATAGAAACCGTGATCTAGCTTTGTACAGGCCAGACACGCATAATCCACAAAGCAGCTTTCTTTTATGTAGGCTGGGTGCTTTACAGTAAGTGAACTTCAGGACACTGCTGTCGGAAAAGTCTCTTGTTATATCTTGAATTCGAAGAGACAAAACCCAAGAAAAATAAGGTCACAGCAAACTTTATACCGTTCAGTGGCCTTCTAGACAGTGAATCTTTGGGAAGCAGAGAGAAATGTGTTTTCTGAAAGATTGTTCATTTCAGACTGTCATGTTGATTTTATCAGCAGTGATTGGTATATACTGAGAGTAAAGTTATTGAGGCTGTTCTAATTTCTGTAGTTTCTGTCAGATATATTCCTATAGAAGTTTATTACCTAGGTATTTGCTTGAGTTATAGAAGAGACCTGTAAAATCTCTGACAGGGTCAGGGAGTTTTAATGGTAGATATTTATAAGTTCTGCACCAAAGAAAATATATTAGTTGTATTTCATTGCTGTCTGTCAGCAGAAGCTTAAACTATAACAAATTCCTAGCTGAGGATTAAATTAGTACTTTCCCATGTCTCCTTTTATATTTTATTAATGTATTTATTAAAAAGAACACAAGTTGTTCACATTAAGAATGAATGGCCTGATTTTCAGAAGTGCTAGGCACCCAAAACACCCATATATAATCTACTGCAGATGCTCACTATTTGAGAAAAATCAAACCATAAACCTTTAAAGTAAATCTATGGAAAGTTTTTGAAGATTAGCTTTATACAAGTTTTTAGGGGGGCATGAGTAAGAGGATTTTATTTATTTATCTAAAAACAAGCACACTTGTCTTCTCTGTGGGGCATCTTTTTGCATATTTTTTCTCTCACTCCTCTCCCATTGCTGCCCTAATCTTTCCCTTCACATCTAACCGTTTTGGTCCTCTTTCCCTTCCAGTGCAAACCATATTTAGTTCTCTTGGGATGGGATCTTGCTCACCTTCTACATGCAGATGACGAATGAATGACAAAATCAATTAGAAGGCGTCACTCCCTCAAATGCAGGTGAGTTGACAGACCTGGCTCTGTTAGGTCATCTAGCCCCTTCATCAATTCCCATGATGATGCAGAGAGTGTTCATTTGGGGTGGGAAGGATAGGGGGGCTATATCTAACATTTATTTTCCAGTGTTCTGTTCATCTAATTTTAAATCTCTGAAAGCAATGGGGATTCGCTCACCACTCGGACACCTTAAAATAAGAAAAATTAACACCAAGTTCTTAAATACATTTCACTTTTAGGATATTTTTTCCTGATACTGAGCCTATTTTCCTTCTCTTATTCTAAGTTGTTAAGCCCCTGAAACACAAAAACATTTACTTTCCATTCTTGTTGACTGTTATTTTATCTGCCTACCCTCCCTCTCTCTGCCATTCTATGCTAACTGTTTGGCTAGACTACACAGACGAGACTAAAGTTCTTTTTATAATGTTGGTGCACAAGATTTGTTCCTCAGACTAATAAAAGGTTTCTGCCAGATACAGCATTTTCTCCAAGCAGTGTAAACAGATACTTTAATTACTGAGAACTAGCACAAAAGTAAACTGCGTTTTCCTTTTAAATAAAAGATTAAAAGCATTGTTGCATACCTGAGGACAAATAAAGCCAGCCCCATACATGATGCTTCTTATAAAAGAGGAAAGGACATCCTTAGGGATGAGATTATCTGCAAAGATCATCATGAAATTGTTGCAGAAGGCTAGGTGGAAGACTTGAAAGAAGTTCATGGTCACAAAAAGTATAAAGTTTTTCTGCGTCATTATCTGTTTGGTCAATGAAATTACAGAGGACCAGGAGAGAGCTTTATCATTATTTTCTAAGCTAGTGTTCTCCACAGCAGTTTCTCTCTGTTCATACTGACTTGTGCTATATATGCCAGTGTAACACATACAAGCAGTTGCTAGTGCTGCAACCAAAACAGTAAAGATTTGAAAATAGGCAAAATTTTCCATATTATCTGATATTAGACCACAAAAAAGAATGCTGGTTGATCCAATTAATGTTGCCACTTGGTTATATTTAATAAGCTGAAGTCTACTTTCATGTCTAGTTGAAATCTCTGCAAAGAGCGCACATTGTGCTAGTAACACAAATGTAAGCAAGCCATCAAAAGCACATAAAGCAACAATAAGGTGAAGACCATTAAGCCAGTCACCTTCCTCATAATGTTTCCAAGGAAACCAGGGAAGCAGAAAAGCTAAACCATACAATGGTGCTCCATATAAAATTGAAAACTGACGTCTTGAGCAGCATGGGACTTTGGAGTTGTCTTGAATATACCCAAAGAGAGGGTCATTAATGGCATTCCAGATCATAAAAACTACCTGAGAAGAAAAATACAGAATTTCTCATTAGTGATATTTTTCTTTAGGATTCATCAAGACATACATAACATCTGGAATAACAAAAGTGCTGACCTATATGATGGAAAGGTTAAACATATTTTGTATGTTGTACACTCTCACACAAACATTATGTATATGTGTAAGTAAAGTCATCTAAATTAAACTATTTCTAAATCTCTACTAACAGAGGATATTGATGCACAAACAATGAAGTACACCATGTCATATTTGTTTAATGTACAATTCTACTTGGAAAACAAAAGAGGAAAGCTTGCCAAATGGAAATGGACTAAGGCCAGATTTTTAAAGGTACTTAGGTGCTTTAAGATGCAGATTG